TGGTTTGGTGATTTCAATGGTCAAAATTATTCCAATTTTGATGGTAGAAAGTAGAAATTAATTATGGCACTCACTATATATTAAAAACATAAGTGTAACACCCCTTTACTACATGTGTAACCATTTTTCTTGGGTAAATATTATTAATAATTTTTAGTCCTTCATTTTTAATTAATAAGTCTTGTCACTGGTCCCAAAAAAAATTGTAATGTCACAATTTTTACTACTGATTTTACAAATTACCTTTGTTTTGAATGCATATTTATTATTCCTTACAATCACATTTCATTTAATTCCATGCTTAAAAATTTTGAACCCTAAATACTTGGTAATGCAAATGCTCATTTTGCCTGGTTTTGTTGCAACATGCTCCAATTTATATCAACAAAACAGCCATTGAAAATACTTTTAATATGATGTTCATTTTCTTAACTCTCAATCGTTTTAGCATCCTAACACTTGCCATTGTGTTAATTGCTTCCAACATGTAACTTTAGCAGCTAAGTATATAATATAAAGTTTGTGCACATTTAGGCAAACTTATTTTTTCATTCCTACCATCTGACAACAAAAGCCTACAACTAATCTTGGAGAACCCTTTTTTTTTTCAAGGCAAAATTGTGGACAATCAATAAATGCCAAAGAAAAAAAATGTTTGTATTATAATATTTATTTTAATTAAATTAATTTCTAATTATAAAAAAAAATTGTCTATTAAAATTATAATATATATTGTACATTATCTAATTAAAACATAATAGATAATTATAATTGCTATTATAATGAAAAAAGTCAAATAACATGAAAACAGGCTATTTTGAGATATTGACAATATCTTTAATTTATCCATAGTACCACTTAAATAATTTCTAGTATTGGAATATTGGTCAGACTAAGTAAGAAGTGAAAAAATAAAAATTTAATAAAAATTAATTGTATAGAAAAAAAGGTTTTAGTTATTTTACAAACCATTGATCCAACTAAACTATTTGATTCTTTTACTGATTCACCAATACTCAAAGTAATCTAAAAAATATATTTATAATCTTTAAAACTTTAATAGCTTTCTTTTAATGTTAGTTAAAACTTTATTTTTGTGTACCTCTTTTAACAATCTCACTTTCCCTGTTAAGCCTTCTATTTTCTCTTCATTCTGGCTTTCTAAATCTAAATATTGAAAATTTGAAGAATCTGAAGGCTTCGATTTAGAGCTACCTCCTTTAAGATTACCTTCCGTTGAATCAGTTTTACCAAATAGTGCTGAGCGATTTTCTCTATAATTAAGACTTTGATTATAACCACTATTAAATAATAACAAGGTTATTGTTATTGTAATGACAAATATTACAAATATTTAAAAAGGTGATAAGTAAAAATAGTTGTCATTAATTACGCTATCGGATGCCTTCCTTGATTCATTATTTATTTTTTTTAATTATTTTTTAATTGAAAGATTTACATCATTGTTATCTATTTATTGTTCAAAAAAATCTGCACAAAAAATTACGAATTTTAGAAAAAGATCGTGATAGTGAACTTTCAGATAGATATAAAAATTAAATAAAATATGGAAACCAAAGCGGCTCCCGTTACTGAAAGTTCAACTACTAAAAAATCTAAGAATGCTGATAAAAATGAAGCAAAAAGACAAGCAAAGCTAGCAAAATTTGCTGCAAAACAGGCAAAATTATCAGCAACTTCAAAAGTAGGATAAAATAAACAATTAAAATTCATCATTAATTATACCTGATAATAATCAATGATTCATAAATAGGTGAATGAAAATGAAAGTAAAAAAGAAAAAAAGTCCAAATCTGATAAATCCATTACCAAAAATGAAAATGAATTTATTGATGATGTCCCTCCTGGACAAAAAAAAGGTTTTTGCTCTTTCCTTTGATCTTTTTTAAAAATTTGAATCAGATACGATATTTATCTTCTTTTAAAATATATCACAGATATGTCCAAGCCAATGGCATCAAAATATAACCCAAAAGCTGTAGAATATTCCTGGTATACTTGGTGGGAAAAAGAAGGCTTTTTTGAACCTGAATTTGACTCTGATGGAAATCCTAAGCCCGAAGGTTTATTTGTTATTCCCTGCCCCCCACCAAATGTCACAGGTTCTCTTCACATAGGTCATGCTTTAATGGTTGCAATACAGGATGCTTTGATAAGATGGTGATTTGTTATTACAATTGTTTATGTTTATTTATTGATATTAAATATTGAATTATTGTTAGACAAATTTTTTAAAATTTTTTTTAGGAATCGAATGTTAGGCAAAACAGTATTGTATAATCCAGGGATAGATCATGCTGGTATTTCTACTCAATCTGTTGTAGAAAAAAAACTTTGGGTTGAAAAGAAAATAACTCGTCATGATCTTGGTCGTAAAGTTTTTATTGATGAAGTTTGGAAGTGGAAGGATAAGTTTGTACAAATAATATCATTTATAAATAATTATTATATACATGTAAAAACAAATTGTTATTTTATTTTAATGTATTATTCTAATAAAATAAAAAAAGATACGAGCATCGAATTCGTGAACAAATGAGACGTCTTGGAGGATCATATGATTGGTCCCGTAATGTTTTTACTATGGATCCGGTGATTATTATTTTTTGAATAATTTTTTAAATTGCTTAGAAAATTTCTTATTATATTAATTTATTAATGTAAATTGTATTTAGAAATGTAATAAAGCTGTTATTGAAACATTTTGCACTTTGCAAGAAGAAGGAATCATATATAGAGCAACAAGATTGATAAATTGGTGTGTAAGATTAAATACGGCATTGTCAAATCTTGAGGTAGAAAATAAAGAATTATCGGGTTCTACACTATTATCGGTTCCTGGATACAATCCAGAAGAAAAATTTGAATTTGGTGTTCTAACATCTTTTGCTTATCAAATTGTGGATTCTGGTATTGATTAATTTAAATTATATTTATTACTATTTTTAATTATTAATATCTTGTTGAAACAAAGTTTTTTTTTTGGGGGGGTTTAATTCTTAGATGAAAAAATAATTGTTGCGACAACACGTCCAGAAACAATGCTTGGTGATACTGCAGTAGCCATTCATCCTAAGGATGAAAGATATAAGGTGAATTTTATAAATATTTTTATTAACAGTTATCTTTTGTTATATTCATTTATATATATACTTATATATATATTATTATTAATGATTTAAGCACCTTCATGGAAAGTTTGTGATTCATCCTTTCAATGAAAAGAGATTACCTATTGTTCTTGATGATATAATTGTTGATATGAGTTTTGGCACTGGTGCTGTCAAAATTACGCCAGCTCATGATTTTAATGATTATGAAGTTGGAAAGAGACATAATCTTAAATTCATCAATATTCTTAATGATGATGGTACAATAAATGAAAATGGTGGTCCATTCAAAGTATGTTGATAATTATTGTAATTTATTGATATTAAATTTATACAATTGATACAACTTTTTTGTTATTTGAATAGGGAATGAAACGTTTTCATGCTAGAAATGCAGTTGTTGATGCTCTTAAAGAAAAAGGACTATTCATAGAAACCAAACCAAACCCAATGAGTGTTCCAATTTGCGCGTAAAGAATACTACTTTTTTTTTTGGAAAAAAATATTATTGTATTTACATTTATAATTTATTAAAAAAGATTATTTATTTTTTAGTAAATCTGGTGATATTATAGAGCCCTTATTAAAGCCTCAATGGTGGATAAATTGTTCAGACATGGCAGCAGAAGCAATGAAGGTTTGTTGACACTTTGTATATATATATATTACTTCTTTACTAAATCTATTAAGGGAAATAGAGAAAGATGATTCAAAAGATTTATATTGAAAAAAACTTTTTAAATTAGGCTGTAAAAGATGGGATGCTTACTATTGCACCTAAAACTTCTGAAAATGATTGGTTTAGATGGCTTGGAAATATCCAAGATTGGTGTATTTCTAGACAACTTTGGTGGGGACATCAAATTCCTGCATATTTTATAAAAATAGAAAACAAAGTACAAGATGTATGTAATTATATACATACATCTAATTAACATGTTTGTTATAAAATAAATAATAACTTACATTAATGATTTATATTTATAAAAGACATCTGATGGTAATTATTGGGTTGCTGCTCGAAGTTTAGACGAAGCAACTGAAAAAGCAAAGAAGAAATTCCCTGGTGTTGACTTTACTTTAGAACAAGATCCTGATGTTTTAGATACATGGTTTTCTTCTGGACTATGGCCATTCTCTATTTTTGGTTGGCCCGAAAATGTAATTATTTATTTAACATGTAAATAAATACATATAAAAGAAATCTGAAAAATCAAAGTTATTAAAAAAATTTTTTCAAATAAATAGACTGAAGATCTGAGTAAATTTTATCCAACTACATTATTGGAGACTGGATGGGATATTTTATTTTTCTGGGTTGCTAGAATGGTCATGCTTGGTATAAAACTTACCGGAAAAACACCATTTAAAGAAATTTTTTGTCATGCTATGATACGAGATGCTCATGGAAGAAAAATGAGCAAAACATTGGGAAACGTTGTAGATCCGGTAGATGTAATTCAAGGTATATCATTAAATGATCTACACGGAAAATTATATGAAGGAAATCTTGATCAACGTGAAATTGAAAAAGCAAAATCTGGACAAAAGGCCGATTTTCCAAATGGTATTCCAGAATGTGGCACAGATGCATTGCGATTTTCTTTATGTGCATATACTTCTGCAGGTTAATAATCTAAGAGTTATTATTAAAAAATTTTTATTTGGAGAAAAAATAGTAATAAACATATCATTTTTCAGGACGTGATATTAACCTTGATATTCTTCGTGTTGAGGGTTATCGTAAATTTTGCAATAAAATATGGAATGCCACAAGATTTACATTAATGAAATTGGGCGAAGATTTTCAACCTAGACCAGACTCAAAGGCATTAATTATTTAATTATCATTATCGACTGTTTTATTTTTAAAAATAACAATAGTAATAATATATGTATATTTTTTTATTGTTTATAGAAAACTGGTAAAGAAACATTGGTGGAAAATTGGATAATACACAAACTAAATAAAGCTACAATTGAAATGAATAAATTTCTTGGAGAGAAAAATCTTATGAATGCAACTACCTCTGTTTATAATTTTTGGTTATATGAACTTTGTGACATATATATTGTAAATTTATTTATCTTTTTTTGTTTGTAGAGTTATGATAAAATGATAATATAATGATAACGTCATCTTTTATAATTATTATTAATAGGAATTAATTAAGCCAATGACTGATGTTGATACATCTATTCCAAAAAATGCAGAGCTTAAAAGATCTGCACAAGATACATTATATACATGTTTAGAAGCTGGACTTAAATTGCTTCATCCATTTATGCCATTTGTGACTGAAGAGTTATATCAACGATTACCTAGAAGGCCTGGTGATGATACTTTAACAATAGTCAGAGCCAAATATCCACTTGAGGTATATAAATAATAAATTTTTTGAAAAAATTTTATTCTTTAAAAACTTATCAATATACATAATTATTAAATAGGTCCCAGAATACAGCAATCCAAAAGCTGAAGAACAATTTGATCTTGTGTTCACTGTTGTTAAGGTAGCTCGTTCACTTATTGTTCAGCACAATATTCAATCTGATGCTACTTGTAAGTTATTGATTTAGATATATATTTATATTTATATACAAAATTATTTATTTACATTAAATATTTTTGGGGGGACAATATATATAGTTTTTATACAAACAGCATCTGAACCAATTACATCATTACTGAATTCAGAAGATAAAAGTATTAAAACATTGGTAAAAAACACTAAATCCATTCAGGTGATTGGAAAAGATGGAGCTTTGCCATCTGAATATGCATCAAGTATTGTAAATGAAGAGATAAGTGTATTGTTACTTTTGGATAAGGTATTAAAAGTGTTATTTTTATTTTTTATAAATAATCTTTTATTATTTTTAATTAATGAACATTGTTTTCTTTATTTTTTTCTCAAATAAAAGAATTAAGATCCAATTAAATATTTAATCATTAAAGTATTTTTTCGATAAATACCTAGATTAATTATTATTATATTTATTTGATTAATTTATATATCTTTTGAATATAATAATATTATTATTATTAATTTATTAATACAAATAAAATTAATTTTGTTGTATAAGTGGAAGTTTGTTGTTACACGAAATGTCATACAAAACTCATTGCTCCTGAAACTTCACCAATATATAGTTGTTACCTCTCTAAATTGGAAATCAAGTTCAGATCCAATTCAAATCCAGTTTATTATCACTTACTTTTTATTGCCAGAATGTTTGCCGTGTATTGTAAAGCTACATTGCACAATATAAAAGTGTAACATTTCAAATTTCCACTATGCTTCTTGTATATATAACTAAAGTCATTTAAACACAATAATAATAATATCATTATTGAAGTTTTTCTACAAGAACACAGGCACATTAAAAATTGAAAGTTGATGAATGAATAACGGAAAAAATCAAACTGGTGAGATCGTCATTTACTTGTCGTGCGCGTCCCATCTAACAAATTTTGGATTTAAATTTTTTAATATGAATTTCAAATTTATTACATATTATTCTGTGATCGAACTGCAATTGATTTTTATAATAAAATAAACTATGCATAATACACATGATAATTTGTGTAAAGTGATTTGTAAACTGAAAAATAACTTATTTTTTCCACTA